ATATATATATATATATATATATATATATATATAATTAGAAAATTACATTAAAAAAAATAAGTTAATTTAATTTATTTTGAGACTTACTACAGAATATAGTGTTGTCTGGAGGATCCACCATGTTTAAAGACTTCCAAAGAAGGCTTCAACGGGATACAAAGAAGATTGTGGATGCACGTGTTCTTGCATCTAGTGCTAGACATGGTAGTGAAGTAAAGGTAAAGATATTAAATAAGTAACCCAATGGAGTGTAAAGTAAATATAAAAAGTTATTCTTTCTGTATTAAGTAAAAAAGTAAAAAAGAAACACTGATACTGATATATAGGTTACTTACTGGTTCAGGCACAACCGGTTGAAGTGAATGTTGTTAGCCATCCCATCCAGAGATATGCAGTATGGTTTGGAGGCTCTGTACTTGCATCAACACCTGAATTTTTTACGGTAATTTTTTTTATATATTTTTTTTTCATATCATTATTCAGATTCCAGTCCAATAAATGTCAAACACAGTACAAGTCTTACACAATTGCTTTTAATGAATAGGCATGTCATACAAAAGCAGAATATGAGGAATATGGGGCCAGCATATGCCGAACAAATCCTGTGTTCAAGGGAATGTATTGATTATTGAATGAATCCTTTGATTTCTAGAAGCTGTTCTTCCCTTCGTGTACATTTTGCAGGTTAGCTTTTGTTAAACAAGAGGTGTACACTAGATGTTTTGATTTTCTTGTAAGAAAAAAAAAAGATTGTATTCTTTGATTAAGAAGCAAATAGGTTTTGTTTTAATGCTAATATTTATTTCTATAAGCAAACTTATAAGGTGACACAACTTTTGAGCACATAAAGGTGTCATCAATTTGTTTCAACGTTATACAGAACTTGTGTCTTATGCAGTTTAAGAATCTTTTTCTGATATGTTAGAACTGATTGATTTGCTTTTTTTTTTTTTTTTTTTGTTGTTGTTTTGTGCACTTGACACCAACACATATATGAAACATAGCAACTACCCAAACTCAAAGAGCATAAAAGACATTTTTACCCTTATGGTTTGCCAACACAGGTTGATTCGGTACTACTATCTAAACCCCTACACATCTTGAGTCCTAATTTATACGGTTAGGGACCAAACGTGCAAATTACCTCAAACCATAGGGACCATTTGTGTAATTTACTCTAAATGAAACCCCCACACGGACCTGAAATAGGTTATAATTTTGGAGAAGGGTAAACAGATCACGAAAATCCAAACTCATTGAAGGTGGTTGTAGCTGAATTTAAAAATAAATCTGAAACAAAAACCCTAACTCGTTGAGTGAATCTGAATCTGTTGCTAAGGACGTCAAAGGGTCAACCACTTTGGTGTGTGTGGAATTAGTTCCCCCTTTGTGGACTGGTTGCCAATAACATCAAAGGGTCAAACCCCTCTTGGTTATGCATTTGATTCTTAAATCAGCAATGGTTTTGCATTTGGTCCTCATATCAGGCGGTTGGTGATGGTTTTGCGTTTGGTTTTCAGATTGGTGGTTCAAGGTGGCGACTTCCATCTGTTTGAGTTGACCTTAACGATGGAAAAAACGAGAAATTGATGAAAGTGAGAAAAAAGTAAAAAAAATTGATGTTCTTGAGTTTCATTAAAAGAGAGAAGTGGGAAGAAATGGAAGGAAAACTTTCCCTTCTAACTTTCTTTCCAATTTGGAAGGATTTGAAGAGAAATTAACAAAATGTTTAATTTTCCATTCACTTCTCTTCATCTTTGAAACACAAAATACTTTTTTTTTTAGCCCTTTCATTTCTCTTCCTTGTTCTCCTTTTTTTTTTCTTTACTAAAACTAAGAAACTAGGCGTAAGATTGAAAGTTGAGGAATAGGTTTTTGTGTTAGGTGGCATGAGGGTTAAGGGTTTTATTTATTTTTAATTAAATTTTTAATATAATATATATATATATATATATAATATATATATATATATATTGAAAAAAGAAAAGTTAATAAAAAACCATATAAATGGTAAAATAGTAATTTCAGATTAATTATGAAAAAAATGAAACAACAAAGACTAACCACACAACAAATAAAAACACAAAGATCAAGTGCTTAAGTGTTATCATAGTTGTCCTCATCATGTTTGTTTTGACAAACCACAAATACCAATGGCCTAATTGTGTCTTATTCAGTCATTTGTATATTTTTAGCTAATGTTCAACGACATTGGTTCTCTATTTTTATTTCTAAATAAGCAATATTATTTATTTTAAGCCATGTACCACTTTGTTTTGCTTCTTTTGGGTGTTTTTGTTGTGAAATGTATGTTTTTTAACCGGGTAATCAGTATTCAATAACCAATTAAGGTTGAAGTTTTAGATATTGTAGTTCACTTTTCATGTTCATTGTGGAACTGGATGATATAGATATTTAAGGGTGACTTTTATCATTTTTAATATAAATATAAAAATACGTTATACTAACATAAGTTGCCTAAACTTATAGTCCATAATTGAACATTTTTTTTTATAAAACGTTAGAGGAGATGAACATGCTTTTCAATTTTAACAAATTCTTTTCTAAAAATAATTAAATTAAAGTGTTTCGGCCCTTCATAATATCTAACAATCCATCATTTGGAAGATATCACAAAATAATCACTCAACTCTCGTAAATTTACAAAATTACTTTTTCTCTAGCACAATGTTATGAATTTTATTGATTTTCGTGATTTTGACAATATTTTCACGAAAGTGATTTCAGTTTGCGAAAAAATAACGATGTATTTCGCGGAATTTAAAAAAAAAATGAATTCAGTTTAAAATAAATAATTCTTAGAAATGCAAGTCAAAATAAGTGTAGCGTAAATGGTTATGTGTGTTGCTCTTACGATGAAGGTTGTGGGCTCAATCCCCTCACCCTATGGAAAGGACAATGTTCATTCATGTTAAGAAGTTTCACATGTGTGTTATGATCAGTATATCTCATAGCCTAAGAATATGTTATCTTTAATTTTTTACTACCACGTTAATATCATCTCATTCTCCTCATCAATTTCATCTTTCACTGTGTTATACCTATCTTTTACCTATTTTTTTATTCTTTAAATACAAATAATAATTATTAATTTTAAAATATTTAATTTACTAAATAAAAATAAAAATAAATATAAGATTACATCAAAAGTTAAAAAAATTACATCACTTTGTTTTCTCTATACATTATATCGCAAATACTAAACATGTTTCTATCCATTTAACAAATTATATAAGATAAAATGCATATAAAATAACTTAATTTACACACGTTTTTATTTTATAAAACGTGTTTTTATTTATATGCGCAATATCAACATAACTCAGTTATCATCCATTTTGCTAAAACTATTGCAACTCAATTTAACAATCAAAGTATAATACGAATACAAACTACAAAGCTTAATGTAAGTTGTTATATATATATATATATATAATATATATCTATATATAATATATCGTATATATATATATAATATATATATATATATATATATATATATATCTATATATAGAGAGAGAGAGAGAGAGAGAGAGAGAGAGAGAGAGAGGTAAGTTCAATTGAGAAAATAAAAAAAGTTGAGAATGAGAGAATCAATTTCAGCCACTCATTTAATTTAAGCATAAAAAGATACGATGACAAACTTGTGAATATGTTAATAACCTTCAATCTCAAATACGTAACTATAGAGAATTCGATAACAGTTCGTTTATCATCAAAATTTCTCCTCCAACCTTCAACAATCATCCAGATTCTTCAACTAAATCATCATCAATGTCATCCAGTGTTATCAATCATCGATATTCGTGGCTGGGAGGTTCGCCGTTCAAGACAGATTCGCAACCCAAATTCATCAATTTCATCGATTTCTTTGTTGAATACTCCGAATGTTCGTAGCTTGCAAGCATCTGTTAAAGTTCATAACGGATTTGGAACTGGAATTTCCCAGATTCGCAAACGAACTGAGTTGGAATCGAAATTTCTTCGTTGTTCATGAAATTGGAATTGGAGTTCTGGACTCGCAGTCACAGTCGGCATTGAAGGACTCGGAATCGGTACTCACAGGTTCCCAATCGGATTTTCAGAAATCAAAATCAAAATGAGAAATCGATCAGACATAGGATGTCGCATCTGAAGTCGAAATCGGAAGTATATGATGATTTGGAATTGATACTTGAATGGAAGTATCATGTTTTTAACATTTTTAAAATAGTTAAATTGTATGCACTCCAACTGTTTGATGAAATGCATAAACTAAATTACCACGTTATATTCACATATGAATATGTTTTCTCACATAAATCAGTATATGATTATTAAAAACACAAAACAAATATGCAAGTCTGTATGTTATTCATATGTGAATAACATATAAAATTATATATATTTGTGAAAATACATTCTAATATTCATAAGTGAATATATTCACAAGTGAATATACCCTTGTAATATTCATATGTGAATATATTGTGTAATATTCATAAGTGAATATATCATCTAATATTCACAAGTGAATATACTATGTATTATTCACATGTGATATACCATGTAATACTATGTAATATTCACATATGAAAATATCATTTAATATTCATAAGTAAATATACCATCTAATATTCACAAGTGAATATACTATGTTAATATTCACAAATGAATGCATCGTCTAATATTTAAATATGAATATACTGTGTTTATTATATGCTATATTCATATATGAATGATACTTAAATTGTAAGAAAAAATTAATCATAGTTTTTATTCATAAGTGAATAACGAATGTACTGTAATTAAACCTGATGTATTTTTATTCACTTATGAATAACGATAGCCGAAAATATAAAAAAAAAATATTTTATCTTAAAACTATATCAATATGGATGTCTATTTGTAGAGAATAAAAAGCCATGAATTTTTGTATATTTAAAATTATTTTTCAATAAAAATAGCTTCTTAAAAACTAAAAAAACAAAAAAAAAAACTATGTTTTTGTATATATTAAGGTAATGATTAGCATAGTTTAAGGAAATATGTTTTGTTGGAAAACACATGTCTATTCATTTCTCATTTCCGCCGGTACGACGGAGGCTTTTGCGGTAAAAATAAATGAGTGGCTGAGAATGATTCCCCCATTCTCAAACTTTTTTTTCTCAATTGAACCCTCCTCTCTCTCTCTCTCTTTCTCTCTCTCTCTCTCTCTCTATACTATATATATATATATATAGATATATATATATATATATATATAGATATAGCTATATATATATATATCGATATATATATATCTATAGGGTGAGGTTCAATAGAGAACCATAATTAACCAAGGAACCAATCTTTTTTTCAACTTTTAGAACTTATGTTTTATCAAAAAAAAAACTAAAAATACAGAAATTCATAACTTTTTATCATTTTTCCAATGATATCAAATTCGATTTTTTTTTACGTCAAATTCACAATGTAAATCTTTAAAAATTCACAATGTGAATCCGGATTTACACGGTGAATCCGAAAAATATTTTTCACATTCACAATGTTAATATATGAATTTAGATATTTTAGATTTTTTCGATAAAGAATAAGCTCTAGAAATTGAAAAAAAAAAAGATTTGGTTCCTTGAAAAACCAATAATTATGGTTCTCTATTGAACTTTTATATATATATATATTATAGATATATATATAGAGATATATATTATATATATATATATATATAGATATATATATATATATATATATATATATATATATAGATATGAACAATGTTTTAGAAGATATAGAAGTTTGGTGCAAAAATAAAAATATACTCTTTAAATAAAAAGTAATCTAAAGTTCTAAACGACATTGAGGTTTTTTTGTAAAGGGGGGTTCTTTTCAATTTCATTTGTAAAAAAGGGTTGTTTTAATTTGGTTGCAATAATAGGTTCGTGTCCCCACTCATTTCTTTATAGAATGGTTCTTTTATTTTTACATCTTTTACTCTTTAATTAATATGATATATGGTATATTTATCTTTCAATATTTAATATTTTTATTTTCTACATTCACCAGATTTGTATATAAAATGTTTTTTTTATCATAAATATATTATTAAATTATATATAATATACAATAATTTATACCATTAAGAAGATGCCATTAATATTCCAACCAATATCGATATTGAATATTGTTATATATAATAAATAAATTAATGTATAAATATTATTAGAAATGGTTACATAATAATAAATATAGAAATTTTATATAGAAATGCCAAATCAATGACAATGTCTGCAAAGTTAACTAAAAGAATAAATGAGAAAAACAAAACAAAAACGTGAATGTTCATTTGAAAACTCTAAAATAGTTATTTGTATTTAATTGAATATATTACACTTTAATGTTATAATATTCACTTACTGAATTGAGTTTCTTTCATCATTTCTTCAAATTTCTTTCTCCCCGTATTTGCATCCTTAGTTTTTGGAAAATGAATTAGGAGGGCAACGAAGTATCGTTTTTGTTCACATTTGATCAATTTTTTTTGTATACTATTTACCATTGAATTTGTTTTTCGTGTTCCAAAATACCATTGCAACCTGCTATGAAAGATTTCTAGCGACTTCATCACCTTTGGCGGTTCTCCAGTTATCTTCTCTGGCGAGCGTCTGACAAACATGAGTTTTCCGACTATTTCGAACCCACAAATC